TGATACCAAAATGAAGGTATCAAGGGTGTGAAATGCAGATAAGAAGAAGAAAGAAGAAGAATGAAGAGAAGGATGAAGAACAGGGGAGAAATTGAGAGAGAATGAGAGGGGAAATGAAAGTTATATTGAGCTATCACATTCAAATTATGCCTTACAAGTACTATCCACTCCTATTAATACTACTTAATCAGAATTAAAGGAAAATACAAGGAGAATTATAATGAATACTAGAAATGAGCATAGGAACTGATTCTAACTACTTTTCCCGCCAAAATAGTAGTCATGCTAATGGTGTGTGACCTTCCAGCTCAGCACTGACGTGGTATCTGCCATGTGACTGAAGTATTACGTGGCTGTTGCACCCAAATTGGTAACACTTAATCGATTAAATTGCAAATAAAGTACCTTCAATTTCTGAAGATTCCCAATCTCTCTTGGTATAACACCTGCCACATAATACAGAGAAAAAACATCCAGATCAATGCTATTTCTTTAAATCTTGTTCCAACTTTCAGGAAGATTATGCTTGATTGCATTCGTTCATATATCAAAAATTAATCAGCCAAATTCTACGCATGATGGAGGAGTAATAGTGATCTGGATAACCAAACAAACCTACATTGCTTGAAAATTACCTGATAAACTGTTGGTATTCAAATTAAGCCACCATAGTGATGATAAGTTGGAGATAGTGCGCGGTATTGAACCCACAATGTGATTGTTCTCCAAATTTAATTGCTGCAACTTTCGTAAATTACCAATCTTTGCTGGAATTGTGCCTGCAAATTATTTTTGAGAGTTAAAACGGAACAAGGGTGTTTTTTATGCATTTGGCCAAATGGGATGGAGAGAGTATTATTGTTGTTAATAGAATAGGCTAGGGCATGGTCAATTATTATGAGCGCGCTAAAATATTAAATGTTATTCAAATTGAGAGAAGTACCCTCTCCATGCATTTTTACTTGCCCATTATTGACGTAACAGTTAGCACACCCTTAATAAATACCTTGCAAGTTGTTTCCCCCAAGGCTTAAGAGCTCAAGCCTCTCCAAGTTGATAATTTCTGGTGGAATGTTTCCACTGAAGTTATTGTATGCCAATGACAATTCGGACAATTCTGTGCAGTTAGACAAACCTGATGGAATGTAACCACTCAAATGGTTTGAAACTAATGATATTCTCTTTATTCTTCCAAGACGGCGACATATATCTACAGGAAGACTCCCTGTTAATTGATTACCTGAGAGACCTAAAAGTTCCAAGGAGGAAATGTTGAAAATGGAGAGTGGAATAGAGCCAGTAAGTTGATTTTCGAATAAAATCAAGTCCTTAAGATTCTCAAGGTTCCCAATCTCCTTGGGGATACCGCCTTGAAGGAGATTGTTTCTCACACTCAGAGTTTCTAACTTTGAAATAAAACCAGAATTGAAACCGAACCACATTGGAATCTCTCCGCTGAAATTATTGTAACCGAGATCCATCACCTTCAATCGATTTAAACGAGACAAATCTTGCGGGATGTCTCCATGTAAATAGTTTTTGCTTAGATCGAGAGAAACGAGAAAAGAGAGGTTTCCCAAATGTGGAGGAATATTGTTTCCAAAAATGTTCATGTTGGATATATTTAGTGCAATCACCCTATGGTGACGAGAACCGCAAGTGACTCCAATCCAATCACAAACTGAAGCTTGAGAAGACCAATTTTGAGTTAAGGGATGAGAAGAGCTTAGAGTAAAACTGGCTTTCAATGCAAGTAGAACTGATTGATCTGTGTTAATTACTATGTTTTTGCTAATGCATGTTTCTAACAAGTAGAGATGCAAGAGTAGAAGTGAAAGAAAGAAAGAGTAGGCTTTCTCCATGTGATTGCACATAAAAATAAGGAAATAAGTATTCAGGCAGCATTTAGCTATAAATAGAAAGTTGCTATGAAAGTCAGAGGGTAGCTCGTATTGGGACTATCTATGTATAGATAAGTAGTTGTAAATTTTCTATACATATTTTGGCGGTTTGACTTCACCAAAAATCTACTCCCTCCGCCCTTATTTACATTTATCTGTTATTTTTAATAAATTAAGAAAGGATAATTTTATTTTATTTTTCTATTATTTTTTTCAGTTTATTAACATTGAGTTAATGTCTTTCAAAAATATAGTGAATAAATATATTTGAGAACCTATCAATTAAAAGAGGTAAATTGGTAAATTTGCTATACCAATCAATATTCCCTTAATAAGTGTGTCAAATCAAAATTTAACAAATAAAAAAAATACCGAGGGAGTATTAAATTCATACTGACTGTCCATCTTTATGAGCGCCATACTACCGTGCTATCCCATCATTAAAGCATACGTATCATTTTGGTCTAAAAAAATATCACTTTGACTATTAAACTCGGCTTAAGTCATCTGCGTCCCCTTAAAGTTGTCCGTATAATTCATTTAGTCAATTAGGTCTAGTACCTATTGAACACTTTAACCTTAAGAAATTTATATCTATTAGACACAAAAGGATAATCAGTTGAAAAACAAAATTGCGTGTAGCTCAAACGCAAATATATAATAGGTGTACCGATAAAATAATGACACGTGGCGGTTGAATTCAATTTTTTTTAAAAACTATATAAATATTCCAAAAAGTATTTTTAGAAAATAAAAATTAACACTTTTAATTAACGCCCCCACCCTCCCGTCGTTGAGACTGTTTGCCCTTCCAGTCGACGCCGACACACAAATAAATCATCGCCCCACTCTTTCATTCCCTTTCATCGGCATCAGCAGCACCTCCTACCATTGCCATCACTTTCTTTCGATTAATAAACATTTATCACAGTTACAAGAAATAATAACATTTTTTACCGGAAAAAGAATTGATACAGTTTTCTTACATCGGAATAAATGGAGCTTCGCCGAAATATTTGAAATTTGAAAAAAGAAGAAAAAACAGAAGAATAATTGGAGAGGGTGAGAGAAAGTTGGAGGGGTGGGGTGGCATGAGAGGTAACTAGTAAGTACAGAGATGGTGGAATGATGTTGGATGGAAATCGTTGAGGCATCATCCTGAAAAGAAGACGTGTTTTTTTTTTTTTGTTTTAATTGTAGTTAATTATTTTTTTTGGTTTCTTTATTAATTAATGTTAAGGGTCAAATAAAGCAAAAAAAATGTATTTTTTCAGAAAAAAGAAAAAGGAAAATGTTATTTGGGTATCTTCACGCGCTCATGGAAAGTGAAGAACACATTTTTTGTCACATCAGTATTTTGTGCTTAATAGATACACATTTTTTAATATTTTAGGTATTCAATAGGTACTAGCCTTAGTTAAGATGTCAAAATGAATTATGCGGACAACTTTAAGAAACCACATATGACTTAAGCCATTAAAGTTTGAACAAACCCACATCCACATCCACATTTAAATTCAAGATGCAGCAACTGGGAACTGAAACCTATTGAATTTGGACCACCTTTACTGCATGCAACTAGGAACTGAGCCTATCACTCAACCTAAATTTCGAACCACATTTTCCACTACATTAAGAAGGTTTTATTTTTTTCCTGTTTCCACCCATCTTTCGGAACTCGTATTGGAGTCCCAACTAAATAAGGATCGCATATTGCAGGATCTATTTGGGGGTGGCACTCCCAACATGAAATCTCTGGTTAATGATAAAGCAGACCCACTGCATCAGAATCCGTGTTGATATAATTAATAAAAGCTTATGTATTTGTTATATGTGCTAATTTTGGACGTGTATCCAAGTCAAGCAAAAAAAATAAATATATATATATATATATATATTATTAAAACAGATTGTAATGAATACCCCAAACTTTTAAACGGAAAAATACAAGTTAAGTATCAGTCCATTCCAGTGATTTTTTTTTTGTTGAACAACAAATGATAAAATATTTTCTAAAGCTGCAAAACTTGAACAATCAACTTAAGTTTGATAGTCAAAATGTATAATGAGTCACATTCTTGTGTTATTACATGCAAACATGTAATATATTGACTTTTTGGGTTGGTCCTCACATCACAAAAACTCTTATCGTGGACATTCCTATTATCCTATATAAAATGCAACATACAATTGTCCGTGGGAGAATATAATTTATTTTATCCCAAACAGTAATCTTTGGTGTTTGCAATATCTTGCTACTCCAAGCTGTCTCAAAGCTGGTATAGAAAGATGAAAAGGAATATACTATACCTGTTTTTCAGCTAAATGCGAAAACAGTAATAGCAATTACTTCCTCCGTTTCATATTGCTCTTAAGTTAATTCTTTTTGAAAGTTCCTCCACTATTAATTTTGATGTTGATAGATAAGACATATAAATATAAGAAGTTACTTAAAGGCAACTTATATTTTTCTTATTTTTTATTTCTCAAGAGACCGAGTAAGAGGTAAAGAAATTAGGATTCATTTTTATTTAATGTGGTTATAAAGAGAATAATGGATTAATTAGAAATGTTAATTATCTAGATTGCAATCCAGCTCACTCTTAACGACTCTCCACTTGATTGGAAGGTGCATGAAAGCACCATCATTGAATACATTGATTGCTTGTCTAATACACAAAATTCCATGCCAATTATTTATTTGATTCATTTACATCTTTTATTTATGGCAAAAGTATTAATTACCCTCCTAAATTTGAAGCTTTTTATTTGGTGTATATTTAAACTATATTCCGTTTTAATTACCTTCGAACTTGTTTATTCCTCCATCACGTACACCTTTTTTGTCCACCTGCTCCTATTGTGACTACACGCGCGCGATAGCTGGCAAAAGTGATGATGTGGATTTCCACCTGGATAAATAATAGCCACCTAAATAAATTAATATGACAAAAAATAAATATCAAACCTTCTCACCTTCTCACCTAGGCTTCTCACCTAAAACTTTTGGACTAAGCTTCTCACTAAAACTTTCGGACTAAACCCGAAAATCTTCAAGAAATTAATATTTAGTACTGGAGAACTCAGATTAAATGCCAGCACAAGACTTTCATTGTTGGGAATAAAACAAATTAATTTTGGATTAAAAAAAATCGGTGGAGATTGGGATTGTTTCTACAAAAGTATCTTGAAGAAGATGGGTTGCAGGGAAGGGGATAGCTTGTTGCAAAATAGATTTTAAAATAGTTAAAATAATTAGGTAAAATGCTACATATCATTTATTCATTGGATAGTTTTTCTTAAATTTAAAATTCATTGTTTAAAAGTTATTTTTGAATACGGGTTGATTTTGCGGAACTCCTTCGGGATTTGGCTTTTTCTAGACATGAAGTTGGTCGATTAAATTTCAAATTTGTCTGAAATTCTTACCAAGTAAGTGTTAATCTTTGTTTCCTTTACTTTTCATTTACATTTTGCCCTATTTTTCGTTTAAAATATGCCAAATATTAAAGAAAAATGGAGATTTTACGTTGTTTTACCATTGTAGCTTTATGATGTGGCAAAAAATCACTTCCTCACGCGCCTAGTAGAGTGTGTTGTCAATTTCTACGTCAGGTGGACAATAAAGGTGTACGCGATGGAGGAATAAACAAGTTCGGGGATAATTAAAACGAAATATAGTTTAGGTGTACACCGAATAAAAAGCTTCAAGTTCAGGGGTAATGAATATTTTTGCCTTTATTTGTTTGAGACAATCAATCAAACAGTTTGTATGCAGAAAATACAGTGGCCCAAATCTTTAAGAAATTGCCTTGAATGCTGATTTAAGTTGGGCTCAAGCAAAATTGATTGAAGAAACACTCTCTCTAAGCCATATTAAAAACGCATTGTAATGAGTATTCCAAATTTTTAAGCTTACAAAAATACAAGTTAAAAATGATGAACAATCGGTCTATTTAAATGACTTCTTTGTCGAATGACAAATGATTAAATATTCTCTCAATCTGCAAAACTTGTATAATCAACATTAGTTTGGCAGTCAAAACGTATAAAGAGTCACATTCTTATGTAATTAGATGCATATGTTACCTAATACTCAATTCATCTCAATTTATATGACACATTTCGAATTTCGAGATTTAAACAAGTCTATTTTTTACAGTAAATTTTTTGTATATCTTTCAAATATTTTGATGTACAAAAGTTCCATTTTGACAATGGTTATATGCCCCTGGCCCACACTTTATGAAGGACAAACACATTCGTGGAGATACACTCGAGGCTCCATTCTTAGAGCCTCCTGTGTTGTCTTATTAGCTTTTACTTTGGTTTGACCTTTCGAGCAACCCTCGAATCTGAAGCAAAAAACATATTGTTAAAGGGGGGCAAAAACAACTGCATCCAATGTAATATCTGATCAGAAACTAGATGCCAGGACCCTGCAAGAAAGTGCATATTAATCAAAGAATCTTGGTGTCATTTCTTCTTTTGTATGAGTTAATATGGCCTTGAGTTCAAAAAATACTAAGTGTGATTACAGATACACCGAGATGCCACTTGGCACACTACACATTTTACTGGTCAAAATTGTTTCGCCTATCTTACTCAAAGAAGTAAAACACTAAACTCAGAAGATGTAATTCAATATAAAATAGTTCTCTTCTGATGAAGCAGAAAAAATTGCATTAAAAGGTATCTATATTATTTGGTGATTCCACCATGTTGTATATCAACAATTGTGACAAATGCACATTAAACTGGCTAATTTTCTTACAACAGATAGCAACTCAAAGTACATATCTTGGACCATATCGAGGCCAGTTACTACACATTTAAATCCCTAAGTTCAGCTATGTGCCTGTTAGCTCTGTCTTGCTGATTCTTCTGTGGAAGTGAATCATTCCTCCTCCTTCTCACCTTCTGTTGATTGCGGATACGCTTGAAACCCTCAATTGATACAA